GCACCTTATTCCAAAATGAAGCTGGCTTGTCCAAATGTGCTTTAGCATACCTCAAGCCACTCTTTTTTTTTGGCATGGGCACAGAAAAGGCTTCTGCCGCATTAGTCTCCCATACAGCATGTCCTTGTGCAAAGTGTGCTGAATAGTTGAACGATGCACAGTGATACCATCTGCAGCAAGATTATGTTGTAGGTCTTTGGAGCTGGTCTGTGGGTTGAGTTTGACTGTTCTCACCATCCTTCGCCTCTGCTTATCTTAGATTCTTGGCCTGCCACTACGGGCCTTACCTAGAACTGTGCCTGTGGTCTTCCATTTCCTCACTATGTTCCTCACAGTGGAAAGTGACAGCTGAAATCTCTGAGCTAGCTTTCTGTATCCTTCCCCTTAAACCGTTTGACAGTTGTTTTGAGGCTCCCATGTTGTCAGTCTTCAGAGAAGATGCAAAGGGGAGAACAACTTGCAACTGGCCACCTTAAATACCCTTTCTCATGATTGGCTTCACCTGTGTATGTAGGTCAAGGGTCAATGAGCTTACCAAACAAATGTTGTGTTCCAATAATTAGTGCTAAAGGTATTCAAATCAATAAAACAACAAGGGTGCTCAAATTTATGCACCTGCCTCCTTTTGTTTAAGTAATTATTGCACACTTTCTGGAAATCCTATAAACTTCATTTCACTTCTTAAATAAAAAAAATAAAAATCATTGTTTGCTATATGATATATTTCATTGAAATTGCTGTTCCGAACAACCAATGATACATGGTAGATTACAGGAATATCTTGAAAATGATCGGGATGCACGAACTTTTTCATACCACTGTATATCAGGTTCGTGGAAACGCACAGTGGCACATGAACTAACAAACCACAGGTAAAAGGTACCATATATTTGACCACTTCCCATGTTCCTGCTTTGCAAGAGAGCTGCAGGATATCTGATGAAAATGAACATTCTCTAAATTATTATTTATAAGTATTTATAAGAAATCAATCCCAGACAGGTTTAAGGATTTATTTTTAAATGTCAGAACTTTCTCAAGATGAAAAAAAAAAAAAGCTGGAAAAAGGCATATAAACAGTTTACAGTTATAGTCAGACCAAAAGCTGTTTATTTGATCACAGACCTGACTCAATGAAACATCTGAACTCATGAGTAAGAAAGTCAAATATTAAAAAAGGAAATGAGAAAAGAACACAGCAGGCAAAATGAACAAACTTGTAGGACAAAGTAAGATTGCTGTCAACAACATCACTGGTTCACGTTCTTCATCACTGTCAGTGCAGGAAGGATCTTCTGCAGATCATTTCTCTATGAGCTTGGAGAGTCATCCTTACTGATTTGAGATCAGTCTTGATGCTGGGAAGGCAACAAGTAAAGACAAAATCTTCAAAAACCTATTTCCTGTTTGCAGGGAGCACGGAATTAACAGAACTGAAATCTGGTTTTAAATTCAAAGTAAAGTTAGTCTCATTTACCAGTTTGTCTAATGAAGAAATAAACATTTAAACTTTTGTTTTACCCTGGGATGTAGAATTGTACCTTTTCTCTCAGCACTCTGTCATAAGAGAGGGAGTGGCCTCCAGAGCCGTCTCCTGGTCTGGAGGTGCTGGTCTTCCTCCTCCTCCTCCTCCTCCTCCTGCTTCTCTTCTTCTTCTTATTTCTTGATTCTTTAGCTGAAAGGACAGCAGAGCAGGAGTTACTGCTGCTCTGCTCTTGGGTGGGTGAATGCAGCCGGTGTGTGTGTGTACCCTTGGGTAGAAGATGGCTGTTGAGATGAGTCCTGTCAAAGCCAGCAGGTGGAAGACAAGTCTGATCATCAACTCGGTCAGAGGAGCTGTGGAAGATTTAAAGTCGTGTTCACTTCCATCACTGTTTGTACAAAAACAGTTCAGAACAACCAAGATAGAAACCAGTATAAAACCGAACAAATGAACATGGCTGTCAGTGCATTTACTACGGTGGCGTCTTAGAGTTGTTGTAGCATCAGAGTAGTGACTAAGACAAAGTCTTGGACTGAGGAGTTATTGTTGCAGAATCAGATTAAAGAGATCTCCAGGTCCCTGGAAGGATTTCCTTTGGTCAACTGTGTTTATATGACTAAGAACATGTCATTCTTCCTGTCCCCACAGTCTGAAACACAGGTAGCTCTGTCCATTTCTTATATATATATCTGCCTGCAACTGTTTCACCAGGAGCTTTAGGGCTTGTCCATGTATATACAAAAAAGGGAATACAAAACATGAAATGTAATTATAATATAAACATCCAATACTTTTATATCCATATGTTGTTTTATGTTCAAATGTGTTTCTGTTTCGTTTTTTTTT